GCTCGGCGTCGGTGGATATCGTTGAAGAGGCTGTCGAGGGGTTCGGTGTGGGCGGCAGAGCTTCTGCTTGTCGTTGGGGCAGCTGCGGTGCTGGATCGAGTTCGACCGTGGCGAGGCGTGTGTGGGTTGCTGGGAGACGTGGCAGAGGGGGGCACGAGGAGAGACAGAGAGAGGGAGAGATGCTCAGCACCAGGCGGCGTAGGCGTTGGATTCGTAGGTAGGGAGCTGAATGTATCAAGTGGTTGGAGTCAGAGGTGCCGTGTGGTGATGAAAAGGCGTAGGCAGGCCCCGGAGGAAAAGAGCAGGTGTCGTGCTGCTATATCGAGCTCGTGGGCAGGTCTGTCGTCACTCTGGTCCGTCTTGCGATTCTTCTTGGAAGGGATCCCGCTGCCAGGTCGACGACGAGCAAAAGATGTATTCTTTGCAGGGGAGGGGTGTGAGACCAAGGAAGGACCGAGATGGAAGGGAAGGAAAAGGGACGTCCTGGCATTAAGAGACGAATGGGATGGAGAAAGCAAACAAGCAACGGCAGACGAAGCGGATAAGAGAAACAAGAGACACACACACTCCTGGCGTTCTCTCACGCTGATGACAGAAACAGACAGGCCAGACTTGATAGTCCGAGGCGGAGGTCGGTGGCTTCCATGTCCAGGTCAAGGTTCAACGTCCAAGAAAAGACAAGGCAAGGCAAGGCAGGTGCAAGGTCCAACCAGTTGCAGGAGGCAGGAGGCAGGAGGCGGGAGGCAGGAGCATGTACCTACAGGCCCGGGGAAGGAGCGTGTGTGTGTGAGAGTTAGAGAGAGAGAGAAGGAGCCACCGTCAAGCCCATCCAGGTCCAGTCCAGGCCAGCCCACACCCGCACGACTTGGGAACCGCGCACTCGCACCAGCACCAACACCAGCACCAAACCCAGACCAGGCAAAATGTGTGGAGTGTTGTTTAATGTCGTGGTTGCGTCGTCGGTTGTCTGGGCTCTGGGCTTTGGAGCTCTGGTGTGCATACGGCTCGGGTTGTCCTGGGTTGCGCCCCCCCCTGATGGTCCGGTCCTTGTTCCCCCACCCCTCTTGCTGCCTCCATCCGCCCCACTAGTGGCCGCCATCCCTGCGCCCCTACTGGCTGGTCGTGGGCGAGACTGGCTGACTGTGGAAGGTGTGCCTTGTGAATCCATGTTGGTGGAGCCGCTCGTGACTGGTTGGAAAATGCCTGGACGCCGGCGCCGCTTCCCCATCATTGCTCAAGTCCCATGTCCATGTCCCATGTCCCATGTTTCTGGCTGCGCGTGCCCTCGAATGTCGGATTCCTACAGGGAGGCCTGCGGACAAGTACAGTACAGTACTGGCAAACCCACAGTGCAGTGTCAATGATCGCTGGCGAGAAGCCCGCCGCCCGTATCGTCCAGTCGTGCCAGCGCCGGGGGTGGATGGATGGATTGGATGAGGGGGCGAGCGCCAGCTGAGAAGGCAAGGAAGGGTGTCGGGTCGGCCGCACTGTCCCGTTGTCCTGCAACCACTTTCACTTTCGCCTAGACGTTCGCCTGGACCTTTCCACTCGCTGGCTGGCTGGCTGGCTGGCTGGCTGGCTGGCTGACTGCCTGCCTGCCTGCCTGCCTGACTAAGACAGACAAACTGGCTCACAACCCGTGGTGGTTTTCAATGTCAAGATACTCACACCTTCCCTACTGGCATCTTCTGACGCCTCCGAACAACAGAGACCATGAGCTCCATCCTGACTCCCGACTGGACTGACAGATATGCATCACCTGGCTCCCGTCTAGCTCCCTCGAGCCTGATCTGTCCCAATTGTCACCTCTCGTCATGTCTAGGGTAGGTCTTTGCGCGGGCCGGCGTCGCCCTTTGATGGACACATCCACACGTTGCACAGTACATTTTACTTTACATTGCGATTCAGCCCGTTCATGCCAAGTCGTCTCCCTTTCGCTTCTCATACACACACATGCTACATGCTACATGCTACATGCTACATGCTACATGTACAAGGTGCAAGCGGGGTATGACAGTCGACGTCCCTCCCTGCCGCAGACGTAGGCGGGCGCGGGCGCGGGGGCGCTCACTGGCGTTGCCATGGCGGACAAAATGGGGCTTTGGGCCGTCTGCGGCTTGGATGGCATGGATTCGTCTTTGATGGGAAGATCGAGACCGAGCTGCTGGGCGTTTCTGCTGAACACAAGGATGGAAAGGGTGGAGTAGGGGCCAAAGAGGGGCCACGAGTAAGGTGAGATGGACCGAAAGGGGAAAAAAAAAAAGGTACTTCGCAAGCCGCCTTTGCCGGGGTATAGTTGCAGGTATCTATTCCATCAACACGGCGAAGAAACACCTGATCGAAGCACAGCGCGCAGCGTGCAGTTCGCCTCGACCACCCCTTATCACACAGCATGGCACGGTATGGATACAGAGGGCAAAAGATGTCAATGAGCCGTCCACGCATACCCACCGCATCCGCGCCCTGTACGGCAGTGAGCTCCTTGAACGACCCTTTTCTTCAACCTGTGCAGTTTTCCGGTAATCAATTTCGACCCGAGATGTGGAGGGATGGTGGGAAGCAGAGTCCATTCGTGATCGTGTTCCCCAGGCCTTGTCACCTCCGAAAGAAATTCATGCTGGCATCCTCTGCTCGCCTCGCCTGCTCACACCAGGCACATAGCCCCAGCATACGAGACGAGACGGCATGCCAAACGAGACGAGGCAAATCCAACTGCAGCCATGCCAACCTGCTGGTGCAGCCAGTCCAGTACACTACATTACGCGACGCCGTAGGCTCTCAAGGGGCCCCTGTCGGAAAGTCTGGTCTCTTCGTACCCAGATGATGCTGCCATTCTGAAGGTGGGTTCGTAGGATGGTTCAGTCCAATTACAAACCTGCTGCTCATGGTGGGGAGGGTGTGGGCTCAGGGTCAGCCAGTCTCGAGTCTGATGCACTCCGCCGGGGGGGACAGGTCTCTCACACAGGGTTCAGAGAGGGTCTGAGAGACCCATCGTGCCATTCAGGTTGGCTGCAAACCTGACTGCGCTACCTCGCCAGCTGGATCCATCACGGTCACTAATTGCAGCCTATTCTCGGTGATGATGTAGCTCTGCCCATGTCGACGCGGCCACTCGAGGGCGCGGATAGCTGACAAGACTTGTCCGCGGGACGGCCGCAAGCTGCAAAGTGTGCAAAGCGATGAGTACCACGTACCAAGCGTCTTCACAAAACACATAACTTTGGCCGTTCGGCGAACAGAACACAAAACCGCTACATTCGTATAGAACAAACGAGTCGCTGTCTTTAATTTTCTTGCCCCCCATTCGTGTCCATGTCACATTTGTCCAAGCCTCGCGCCTCGTGTCATAGTTTGAACGGGTCGGCCTAGGGACATGGGGTTTGTGACCCCCCCGTTCTTCAATCAAAATGACGCTCGACGAAGCGGGTGCAGGCTTGACTGATGGACATTGGTACTGGCTCTTCCTTGTTCACTGGTGATGCAGTGGAAACGGGATGGAAGGAGGAGGGCAGGCAGGCAGGCAAGGCAGGGTGCGAGCCCCGGTAAACACTGGTACATGTCGAACGGCGGTTGTCAGGTCAGGAGAGACAGGGAAGTGGACTTGACGGCCGAGGAATAGTGATAGCCAACGCCTCACGGATGAGAATGAGAGGAGACATCTGAGGAAGGGAACGCCGCTGCACAGCACCCTGTGTCCGGCTGGTCCGTGTGCAGAAATGTAGATCAGGCTGCGTTGGCTCACGGCCAGTGCGGTGTCTTGAGCCCGCCGCCTGCGAAGCGACCTGAATAACCCTGTAAATTGGATGGCACCGTTTCTCGTGATGGGTGGCCCAGAAAGAGGGGGGGTTTTAGAAAAGCTCTTTAAGGAACATCCAACAGGTTTCGTAGAAAAAAGGGGGGGGGGGCTAAAAAACAAGACCTGCAGGCATCCATTCGAGGTCGGAATGCGAATTTCCAGAGGATGAGGGTGCGAAAGTAAAAGCAAAATGCCCCAACCAGAAAAAGGCTCATGATTGACCAAATGCCAAGGGATTTGCTTGCTTTGGGGGCCCCTCTTCTTCCCACCCCGACGTGGTGGCAGTCGGGCGGACAGTCGGGTCGATAGCATCATGCTCTCTCTCCCTCTAACAAGGGACCATCCATGGGTAAGGCCCGATGCAACCACCGCGATGGTCTCATCGCGGATGACGAGGTCATTCGGGCGAGCATCCCTTCCTTGCGCATCAAGGGGCATCGGCTGAAGTTTGTTGGTCCGCGCAACAATGCCATGACAGCCGTCGGTGATGCCTCATTCCTGTCTCGCAAGAAGGCTTGGGCTTACAGGCATTCACTGTGGCCGCCACGGCTGAATGGCGCTGAGGGAGGGAGCAAGCAAGCGGGCGGCTGGTGGTTGGTCCGGGTTTGGGCTGATGATCATGGGTGTTGGCGACGACGGATGCAGATTCAAGTGTGTTTGTGCGTGTGATGTTCCGTCCGTCAGCAACAATAACTGGCCAGTCATGTGGTAGGCCGCATTGTCATGTCTCGACTGTGCACCGATGGTCGATATTGGACCAAGATTTCATGCGCCACCGTGCCATCGGTCAGAGGGCTGGCTGTTGGCATCGGTAGCAGCATTTGTAGGAACCCACAGCAGTCCTTTCTTATCA